AATTATTGCCCAGAGAGATTGAAAGGAAAAAACAAGTGGCCTTTTAAAAATACCGACTACTATATAAGTTCCCTCACCAAAACTGATTTGTATAAGAGCTATAGTTTTTCACAGAACTACTAAAAAAAAAATGATAAAATGAAATGACTGTATATGAAATATAGAATTATGTTTTTATTAGTAGAAAAGATGAAGCACGAAGATGTGCTTTTGTTGAGAGAAAGAAGAGAATATGATTTCGAGATAAAGAAGATATGAAGTACACAAGAGTTCTGCGCCCCCGACTCCGCTTTGGTGAAGAAAGAAAAAAGGAAAGTAATTTTGTCCTAAAGTAAAATGATTGTTTCAATATAAAAAAGGAAATGATATGACAAAAAAATGAGAGGTGTGTGTAAGTTGCAGAAGGTTTGTGTATGTTACAGAAGGTGGGTGGAAGTTGTAAAATGTTTGTGGAGAAGGGGTCTTAAAAAAATAATTTTACATATGGTCAAACTAAGTTTGGAATGGATAACTAAGTCAATTATTGTACATCATTTAAACATGTATGAATAGGAACTCTCACCAGATTTTTTAATCATAGCCATTTTTAAGTCTTTTATCATGTACAGATAATCACTGTTTTACTGTGATACTCGGGGAAAAATATTCCTACAAATGTGTTTCATTTTCAAAGATTCATTAAAAAAAAGAAAACTCTGACAAGTACTCTAAAATACAGATTTCTCATACCTTAAAAAACATAACATTGGCCCTCTCTGGTGTGGCTCAACTGGTTGGGCATTGTCCTGCAAACTGAAAGGTTACCGGTTTGATTCCTGGTCAGGGCACATGATTGGTTGTGGAACACAAAAGAAGTAAAAAACAAAACAAAACAAAACAAAAAAACACTGAAATGGATAAAGATTTACAGAACTGTAAGGAAAAACTGGACTCATTAAACTATTAACAAAAACATCAAGATCAATAAGAATTGATAACATGGGACTGAATGAACTGATAATGATATAATTTCATGACTTCTTTATATGAAATATTACTGGTTTTTTATCTTTATCTTTCAGATATAAAAAAAATTTTCCCTTAAGTTACCTATGATTTACAGCAATTTGTTAATTATACCCTTTTAAAGAGAATTAAATCATTTATCAAAAAAAAAGCATTTATCTTTTCATATCTACCTGATCCCTCTGAAATTTCAGGTACTCTTTACTAATCCATGTGTGATGTAATTTAGAGATGTTGACTCTTAGATGCATGTTTCTCAATTTAAAGAAACCTCTGATACCTAATTTGACTGCTCAACCAATGTATAATTTGAAATTTTAAAATTACTTGGAAATGAAGCTGATGATATTTGTTGTTAACAACTAACCCAAGATTCCAGACTGGGCCTGTATCATTTATACCTTTCTATTTCCCTTTTTTCCTTACTTTAATTCCTTCATATCTCACAAATAATATGAGGCTAAGCACATACTATACTATTTCCTTCCCCCCCGCCTTAATTTCTATCTAGACAAATAACTCAGCATTGAGCATCATCTTTAAACCTGCTTCACAGGTCAAATGGCGCAACTCATTACACACATAGTTAAGGACGCTTTATGCTTGGTGATGTCATCCCCAAAAAAGGCGCCAGATTTGGAAAATTGTTTTTTTTCTCGGGCTTATATTACATTAGCCATCACTGCAATAGTCAACCAGGAAAAATCTTTAAATTTCTTTGCATGAGTTGTATCAGACAGAAAAAAATTGCTCTTGACCATATCTTATGTAACAAGGTGGGATCTGCTCTGTTATTAATACCTTTTGTTGTACTTGGATAAAAAAAAAAACACCTCTGGTAAAATAAAGATGGAACTAAATAAAATATGGGTACAAGCCAATGATTAAGTACAGTGCCCAATGATACTTCATGGTTTTTCAATATCTTCAGCTAACTCCCCTCACGTATTACCTTCTAGTTCAAATCTATTCTTCATTCTGTTTGTTACTATAGAAATGTTTGCTGTTATGAAACCTTGCCTGCAATAGCTCAATGTTATGGATGTCACTTAGGTAATAGCTGCTCAATGTCTTGAAATGACTACTAAGGCCTATGAGACTTCATATCAGATATCTCAAGAAAGTACAGAAAATGTTTGCCTTAGCGAAACACGACTGAAAAACTTTCCTTTTTTCTGGTGCTCTGGTTGCTCAAAGGTGGCCTAAGTTTCCTAAGAAAAAGAAAAACACTTTCTCTGCTACATGGGACATGGCATACCATGAATGAGCCCTCCTGGCAATGAGGGACCAACAATGGCATGACACCCTAAAAGGAGCCATCTGACAACAAAGGACCAATGATGCTTATAATAACTGATTAGTGCTGGGTTGGTTTGTTTTTTAAATTATTGATCAATGATAATTTCAAGGAAATATCTTGATCAAAAAAGGGAAAACTATTAAAAAATTATAAATGGAGCACTTTACAATGGAGCCAGAAGAACTGCCTTGCACACCTTATGCCTCAAACTTCTGGAATGTCAAAACAAGGCAAAACAACCTTTAAAGTGGGCCTAAAGCAACAATTTGTCCCAAAGAACTTTTGCAAAGATAACAAGAAAGCAGATATTATGACTACCAGACTGACGTCTACCACACTAAAAATTTTAAAGATTGTTTAGAATTAGGGCCACTACGGTATGGCTCAGCACCAATAGAAATGTCGATCTTCTATTGATGTAATTGTTCCCCTTCTCTTTCTCATAAATATCTTTGCCTTTGTTTCTTAATCAGAACATTATTTGTGCTTCTGCCTGAATCAGTTCTTTCCAAATAGCTCTTCTTATTAATCCTAAATAAATGCTTTTTTCCTCTGTTATTTTTAGGTTCACAGTATCAATTTCAAAGAGATTTAATGAGCTAGCACTACATTTCCCAGCCCAACATATAGTTTGCTTCTACAATGAATAATCATAATTTTGTAATTATTTACTGATTTTCCATTTTTGACTCAACATAGAAATAAATTACAAGAATTAAAGTCTCAAAATACTATAAATTATGGTCAACCCTAACAATATAAAAATGACATAATTAACCAAATTGAGGAGTTCAGAAAGGGATGAATAGTAGAAAAAGAAGAGTATATACTAAGTTCCTCATTTTTCATAGCGGAAAGTCTATAGATAGCATCTAAAGATAACATATCAAAAATTAAGTATTTCTGAAATCACAAAGTTAATCTGTCTTTCATACAAATACTGCACCATTGGGTTACCAAATAACAGAAAGGAGAAGTTTCATTTCCATTAGTTGGAGGTAATCCAGCTAATAAGGAGATGGAATAACCATTTTACAACTCCTTAATGAATTAATGCATCTTGGTATTTCAGGTGATAGCAGGGGGAAAAAAGAGGCAAATATCTGCTTTTGTATAGAACAACTGCACCATCATTGAAATACTCTAGCCAAAAAACAAAAACTAAACCTGAGTTTGATCAAAGCCCTAGTAGGAATGGCAAAACATTTAGAAAACAGAAGAATATGTTAAATGATATCAGGAGCACCAAGGAATCTCTACAAGACCAAGAGGGGCGGGGCTAAGGGGGAACCCCACTTACTGACAAAAAATTACAAGAGGATGGAAGAGATTATGACAAACCTATCAGTCACAGCAGCATCAATACCTTATTTGAATTCTGACTTAAACAATCTTAAAAAGGAAGAAAGGAAGAGAAGGGGAAAAAAGAGAAATTGTAGGTTATGTGTTAGAGGGAAGATGGCCCAATCCAGAGGAGGCAGCCCACAGGGCGGTGGAGCCATCTGGTGGAAAGAGTCAAGGTCCAGAAACACTGTCTGGAGAGGAGCCAACCAGCAGTGGGGGAGGTTCAAGATGGGCTCCATGAAGCCAGCCCCTCTGGTCTACATGTCCCTACAGTCTCCTCTCCTCAGTGTGGGCAGGACCTGGGTGTTCAACGGAACAGCCTCTCCCATGATTATGTTACATTAGCATGGCAGGCAAGGGAGAGATCCTCCTGCTGGCCTGGAAGACAGAAGCCACCATGTTGTCAGAGGGACATGTGGTTAGGACCCGAGGGTGGAAGCTAAAGGTTGAGAGTAACCCCTAGCCAACAGCCCACAAGAAAACAGGGAACCTCAGTCTCACAACTGTAAGGACTTGGATTCTTCCAACAACCCGAAAGAACACCCAGAGCCTTGATGAGGTGGCAGCCGCAGCAGACACCTTCATTTCAACCTGGTGAGATGCTGGGTGAAGGACTCAGCTAACCTGTGCCAGAACTTCTGATCCACAGAAACTATAAAATAATACATTGCTATTGATTTAAGCTATTAAATTTGTAATAATTCGTAACGCAGCAATAGAAAATGAATACATGCCCTAAATCATGAATACATTCTTTTAACTTTTATATAAGAAATAAATTCTTATTGTGTTAAGCCACTGAAATTTAAGGGTGCATAGGAATCACCTGGGAGATGTTATTAAAATGTAGATTCTAGTTCTACAAGTTTGGAGTTGAGTCTGAGGTTCCACACAAAGGACAAAGCTGCTTGCTGCTGCCAATATCTAGGGAGTTTTTTCATTTGTTTTGCTTTGATTTGGTTTGGGTGTGGCTGTGTGGGGGCGGGGCGGGGGTGGCGGCTGTGGTCAGAGGTAACATCTCTCGGTAGTCCTCAATATCCTCAATACCTCAGATCCCAGGCACGCTTTGTTTGAAGAGGGCCTTTTTAACGCCTGACACTCCCCCTCTCCAGACTTCAGACCTCCGAGCTCATCACCGGTCCCTTTCCTCTGGGCTCCCCAGCCTTGCATCCGGAGCCAGCAGAAGCAAATCCACCACCGCCTTCGGGAGCCCAGTGGCATCAGCAACTCCCTGCACCCCAGGCAGGTGCGCCCACCCGAGAGCCCCCTTTGATCCGGGACCTAGAACCCCCGCGGGACATCGCCGCTCCAGGTCCCTTTCCAAGGACACCCTTCACCTGGACGTACTCACCACCTCCAGCCCTATGTCGGGCTCCGGGGTACCACCTGTTCCTCACCCCGGACTCCGGACTCGGAAACCGAACCTCTTGCGTCCAGAGAGCCGCTGACTGGCGCGCTGCGCGGGAAGGGAGTGACGGATAAGGGACAGCGAGCAGAGACAGAGGAAAGCTGCTGGGAACCCTGGAATGGAGTTGAGCTGAACTGAGTGAAGCCGCCTCAGCCAGTCCTTTAATACCTAGGAATTTACTTTCGGTTTCCTTTTCCATCACAGCGGCGTTTTAGTTTCGTTTCTCGCCATCACAAACTGGGAGACAAGTTTCGGAAAGGTGGGTTTTAGCATCTTTCCCATCAGTCTGAGCCTATTGAAATAGATAGCAGAGGCAATAATACGGACTTTGAAATTTAGACATAAAATAGAGGTAAATGAGGCCGAAAAATCTGGGATACCTAAGGAAGGGAAAATCAACAAGGGTGGAACTTAGATGAAATATTCTGAAATTAGATCATCAGAGGTGGGGTGTTGGTGCTCCACCTTTATCCAAAAAGAAAAACAAAAACAATACATAACAATACACGAACTTGGAGTTTCTATTATGAGAAGCTGATGGTCACTGTTCTGTGTGAACCTTTTGGAACTTTCATGGGCCAGGAAACACCATTTAAAAATGAATTGAAAATGCAACATGCTCACTTTTATTTCTGGTTTAATTGATGTCATTTTTACTTAATTTCTTCCTGTTGATAGTTGCAATTTGGTTTTCAACACAAGCCTCTCCTTCTCATTCATGAATGCTATAAATATGCAAATACACGAGAACTCCAGCAAGTGTAATGAGGGGACAGCAGTGACTTTTGAGTAGTCTTGGGAACCGTGGAGAGCTACAGGTGCTTGCTTGGTCTGCAGGAAAGGTAAGAGCCGAGATATAGATGCTGTTTCACAGGGAAAACCCAGCAGAGCGAGCACAGTGAATGACATACTTTCTTGTCATAAATCAGAGAGTCAAGTTGTTAAAGAAAAAGGTGAGGTTGAAGAGGGTGGCCATTTTTCACATCCATCAAGCTTTCATTTATTTATTTGCAAATTTGTGATGACACTGAGGAAGAAACTAAAAGAACCTGGACCTTGACACATAGCTGGCCTAAAGTTACCTCACATTCATGCCCCTCCCTCGCGAACCATCTCTAATGAACTTGTCTGTGGTAAGTTGAATAAAGCCCTCCCTGCCTCCAGCCAAGAAGTCAGTGTCCTAATTCCTGAAGCCTGGGAACATGTTAGCTTTCATAGCTAAAGGCCCTTTGCAGAATAAATCAAATTAAGGATTTTAAGATGAAGACATTATGATGGGTTACCCAAGTGGACTTAAAGGGTTCACATAAGAGGGAGGCATGAGCAAAGGATGAAGGAAGGCAATGTGATGACAGATGACAGAAGCAGAGTCAGTGACAGAATGGGGCAGCTTTGAAGGTGGAAGAAGGGGCCACAAGCTGAAGGAGTCAGGGGGTCTCCAGAAACCGGCAACAGCAAGGAAACAGATTCTCTTGTAGAACCTCTAGAAGCAATCAGCCCCGTTGACACCTTGACTTCAGCCCACTGAGACTGATTGTAAACTTTGGACCTTCAGAACTAGAAGAAAATAAGGTTGTGTTGTTTTAAGCAACCTGGTTTATTGTAATTGCAGCAATAGGAAACTAGTATACTATTGTGAACGAATATGGCAAACCAAAAACATATTTGCAAGCAGCAGAAATTATGGATTGTATTAGAATAAGAAGTAGCAAATTCATGGTGTGTGTGCTATAATTTCTGTCATTTTAATAGATGAGAGAAATAAGGCTTAGCAGGATAACATAACCAGTGAATGCTGACAAGATTAAAAACCTGCTCTAACCCAAAAGTCTACCTACAATCTTCTCTATTATATGATCTCAAACGACTGCTTCACATTCTGTAACTGAATGTCTTTTACTAATGGGCAACTAATTTTGTTTTACTTTCTTTTTTGGTAAATTATTGAGATGTTAAGTTTTTTAGTGTACATAATGTTTATGTTTGTTTCCATTTTTAATGACAAGTGAAACCTCAATAGACCTTAACCCAGTGTTTTTCAATTTACCACTCCAGTGTATTTAACCAATACACAGAAACTCTAGTCTAGATGGTTTTTTCCATCTCAACAACCTACTCCCTTGAGCACACCATGGATTTTGTCCAAATCTTGATAATCACAAACTCCATTCCTGCCTTTCAGACCCCTCCTTTTTAATCCTTGCACTTCAGCCTCTTGGGACTCTTGTATGTTTTTCTTATCAGAATGATAGCCAGGAGTCAGGTCAGCCCTCCCCAAATTAACATGTTCAACTGCTGAAGCCCCTAGACTTTCCTCTGTATTTCTTCCTGCAATTTGATCATTTGGATCAACTCATTTTTTCCTCTGAGCACTGAGGAAAATGACCCAGTTCGTGTCCCTTTAAACTGTTCACAAATACATTTGATGCTTTTTATTTTCCCCTAAGCCTTTGGAATATTTCACAATATTGGTTACAACCCCACAGAACTTTATATTCACCTCAAGTCCTTTCTAATTGCAGGTCTCTCTCTTCAAATTTTATGATAACTCCGTAACACCCTTACTTGGAGTCTGAAAAGCATGCAGCAGGCATCACCCAAAACCAGCATAACTAACTCCCTATGATCTGTATTTGGCTGCCTCCTCAAGCATCTCAGTCCATTATTCTTCAGTATGTTGTATCTTCAACTTCACCACGTCAACTAAATGCACTGTTCATTCCACTAAAAGCCTCAAGTCACTTCCATTTTAAAACGCTAACAAAAATGATCCCCTGCTGTTTTTTCCCTTCTCTTTTTCGCACAGTACCTCTTAGTGGTCTACATCCGAAGTCTACACTTTACCCTACCCCAGATCCTCAGTCCCCGTAAGTCCATCAGGCTTCAGAGTAGTAAATCTACTCTGAAACTGTTCTGTCAAAGGTCACCAATGATGATCCCGTGATTGCGACCTCCAAGCAATGCTTGTTTAGTCTATGATTCATTTACTTCTCTCTCTGAAATATTTGACAGATTTTAACCTATCTCACTTCTCCAATGAGCCTCTTCTTCCTTGGTTTCATGTATAGTATTCTTCCTTAAATCTATTTCTCATTCTACCTTCTCTATTAGCATTAATGGAATCATCACACAACGATTGATCAAATAAGCCTGGTAACCATTGTTTATCTCCATTAAATCCCAGTGAACTTGAATTCCTAACACTTGTGGGATCTAGAATCTCTCCTCTCTCCTATGTTTTGTAGGCTAGAGCAAGTGTCACCATTTCTCATCTGGATTACTGAAACAGCCTATTCCCTCTTCACTCTATTCCATTTTTCACCCTGCTATCAGGATTACCTTTTAGCATTAAAACTAAGCATGTAAGTTAAAAGACACTTCGACACTTCCTCGTTGTTTTCAGATTAAATCAACTTATTAGTATTTCCTCTTTTTAGAACCACTGTTTACCTTTTTTTTTTCTTGACCAGAGTTTACCATGAGTAACTAAAACCACAGAAAAGGAAACCACAGATAAGGGGGGGGAGGGGCTACTGTACTAGTCTTCATATAATAGCAAATTATTTAGCCAACACTGATAGCGTGGAGCCAATAATTTTAATAACATTGAGTATTGGTATGAGGGTCTTAATGGGGCCTACAGCATTAAGGTTATAATAATCCACTGTAAGCAGCTATTCATTCATTTCAGGTTTAAGAACAGGCCAAAATAGGCTGTTAAGTAAAGAAGCACTGAGGATAGTCACACCTTCATTCATTAGGTCATATCTAACTAGGTCTTATGGTTAAATTACAAAAAATTATTTGTCAAGAATGTAGCAATCTAATACTATGTATTTTTTTTTTAGCTTTTTCTCTGTTTATGATGTGATGGTTGTTTCAGAAGCTTACTTGACATGTAGCTTTGTAAGGAATTTCAATGACATTTTTCCAGATATAATGGATTTTTTAAAAGCCAAGATTGTTGAATGCTTTCTAAAAACCATAATACCAACATCTTTTGTTATAGAGAGTTCATTCTGAATTTGTTTAGGCTTGAATTTGTGACCATAACCTCAATATTAAATGTATAAATCATAAACATATGGAAATAATAAATTTATATGAATACCCATAGAAAAGTAATTTTGTCAGCAATAATTTATTTACCTCTGTCCTGCAAAAACAGATAAAACATTCAAACAAAATCACTGATGCAGGTATAAAATTAAAATGAGCACACTGGGTCTGTGATATTTCTGCCACAGGCTTTTCAACACCTGTTGATTAGTCAATGAGAGGACATGTAGGTGGCTGAAGATATTCCAGTTCTATGAAATTCTTTCTCAAAATAGTGTTGAGCAAATTGTTAGTCCAACAGGAGTAGACAGGGAACAGACCTCAGAATTTTGTGTGGCAGAGCAACTGTCTTCAATGGTTGGCATTTTAAAAATATTTAAATCCCGCTTTGGTTCAACAGCTGATTTCCTCCTTTACCATATTCTCCCTTCATTTCTGTTTTCCCAGGGAGTAACAGCATACCCTTCCATATTAGACTTTCTTTTTTCTTTTTAAAGCAGCTTTTGAAATTGTTAAACAGCTGTCCTTAGTTGTCTGGCAGCAACCACTCCACTTGCAAGTTTGACAGCCCCTCACTAAGTATCTCCATGAAGCATGTAAAATGTGGACTTTAAAAGGAAAAAAAAGCTGTGAGTTTTGAGTTAGTTCAATTAAGTCTAAAGGCCATTTTTAAATATTCAATTATTTTGGTAGATTTGCCCTTCCCCTCTAGTGAACAAAAATAAATAAACTCATGCCGTCAAGCCTTTTATTTCTTTTTATATGAACTCAATTTAAAACATTAAAATCTTCAGCATAAAGAGATGTTTACATTTTTAATAATTCACTCATCTTATAAATACAAATGATTTCTTCTTTCCACTATCATTCTATAATGAATTTTTCTCTGCTATTATAAACAATTCATAAACATCTCTTTCTATGACCACTTTAAAATCCCATGGATTTACTTAACCATTGGAGGTTTAGGTGGTTACCAATTTTTTCTATTATACATAATGTTGGGGTAAACAAAATATTATACATGTCTTCAAAAAAGAGTAAGATAGAACAGGTCAAAATATGAACATT